AATTTTACGACAAATAGGAGATTAATCTCTCTGATGATAAGAGTAGGCCTCCCTATCCCAGGTTTCTTAACATTGCTGGACTCAGAAGAACAATCAGCCAGAGTAACCACTTTCCTTTACACCAACTGCGGTATCTCTCCCCTTTTTCCGGCCCAGCATAACTCACATTGTCTCGTAGTGTACCCTCATCCTCACTCCAAATTTTGTTGGCTAAGGCTAAACTCCACTCCATGTTGTATGATTGCCTGTTTCGATACGCTTCATATGTGCATTCTTACCAGTTGCCGTATCAGAGCTGATCTGCTTGGTCAGAAGCGCCCGCTCCACACGACGCACGAGCCAGCTTCTTCGAAGTCGGCCTGGCCACATAAAAAATTTGTAAAAATTACGTCATACCAACTGCATACACCGAGTGAATACTGCGTCATAATCAATGAGTCCGCCATATTAGTTTTCACTTTTATCGATATAGCATATTTCCTGTCATGAAGATACTGCATAACGAGTCTTGAAATCGAGACACGATTTGTGAAAGTGAAGTCCCCAGTTCAGGTTGACTCATCGGCCAGTAAGGAGATAAGACCGAAGATCCTATTAACCTTGTTCACCTCCAAGTCGTCATACACCCGAACGCCTATCGTAATGGTCAATAGACCCATACTATCTGCCTTTTGACTGCTTCTGTCTACTCGCCAAGGTTGTATTTAACAAGTGCTAATGAGCTTTTGCTATTTCCAGCCTGGCCAAGTTTATCTGGTGACTGGAGGGTCAAAGGCAAGATGCACATTGATGCCGTGAAAAAGGACAATTTTATCCTTTTCGTGTCCATCTCGCAGGTGATTCTGCTGATAACCGCTCAACATTGTCAGCTCTAGACAGGCCTATTTCGGGCTATGCTGCACACGCTAAGACTAATTCAAGCAGGAAAAACGAAAAATCTGATGGCACAGCTTCTTCTTATCTGGTGACTAGAGATAATATGTTGTCTCAGCACAGACTGAATCACCGCTGTTGACTTTAAGCATTTATTAAATGTATTTGGCTAAATCTCTTTTAAAAATTTTAGAAAACCGACTAAATGAGCTTGTTTGTTCTCATAGTTTCACTTATTCCCCCACCTATTTTCACCAACATCAGAGACAATGGCCAACGTGTCAAGATTACACGCTGTACTGCCATGGTTCGAGTCCCTAAGCGAAGCCTTGTAGGAAAGCTAGGCTATGCGAAATTCGATGGAAGCGTCAGCTCTACTCATATCATTGTGGGAAAATTTGATACCAGATCTTCATCACCTTAAACGAAATAGGGTGAATACGTCTCATATAAATGAACTACTGGTAGTCATGAAACCTTAATTATAAAAAAAAGTACAATTTTAGTCTTCAATTAAGCGAATTGCTTAAAGCCAACAAAGAAAGCTGTTTTTTGTGACATATCGTGGCAGAGCAGCAACATAAATGTGAATGAAGTTAAGTTTCCGCTGTCCTTCCTGCATCATTTTTACTCGCTTACATGCATGTAGGACAAGCATAACACAGCCAATCCTATCCTGGAATACCTCATTAAGATCGCAAGGTGAATTATAAGATGGAGGTAGGATCTCACGTGGCCACCTTTCTTGGTTTTGTGTTTTTTTGTGATTGTTCGTGAATAATTGCTTCTGGCTCTGACGATGTCCGTCCTATGATGAATGAATGCTCAGCACAGAGTCATCGGGGTCGTAGGACAGTGAGTCGAGGTCTTCTTCGCACAATTCCGCCGACAAAAGTCCAAGCCAGCCCTCCTTCGGTATTCGGTGGGGCCAATCTACGAATCCCTTTGACCCGTCTTCTCAAACTAAGTGAAAGGTATGCCAGTATAAAACTGTGAATATTTTTTTCTTATTAATCCATATTTAATTGGACGGAAGGTTCGTTTGCCAGAAGAGGATCTGTACATATCAAACCATTGAAGAAAATATGTCCATTACGCCAGTCGCAGAATATGACATACTGATCGAAGAGAGCGAATATACCGCAGCACAATGACGAGGTGAGGACGATGTTAAAATTCACTCTAAACTACATCAAAATTATTAAGTTTCAGTTCAAGCCTCTTGTATCCGTTAGGGTCTGCAATAGGTGTTTGCCCCATCTATCGAAGTCTCTTCATTCTCCGGTGCCATCAGCCTGATGAAGAGGACAATCAGTAGGCCGGAGAGAGCAATGTTTACTTGAGACTCAGGCCACCATCTCTCCTCCTCTTCTCCTTTGAAGGTGTGTTGTCAGTTGGGGTAAACTGATGAACAACTAGCCTCCAGCTTTCCCGGCCCCTTAGATAACCTTTACCTCACCAGCTCATCCAGTCTGCTTAATTAGTCTGAAACCTCTCACGCGTTTGCTAAAAAAATTAAACTTACTAAAAGCGATACATCCTCATTGAATGCAATCACAAACACTCAACTCTCACAGAGGGCCACAGAAGGTGTGAGTAAACAGCTCCTTGGGCACCTCATGAATAAAGTAATCCGAGTCCCTCAGATCTTCACATCATAGTCGTTGATTTTTCTGGGTTTCAGACCATCAGGCCGGTAACCGAAAATGTCACTAAATAGACTGGAGTAAGTTCGAGTATACAGGCAAAGATGAGGTGGCCTCTCATTTGGGCTCGGTCTTCATTCACTTTTTCGACCTCGATGCCGCAAATTTACTACATCTGTAGAACAAGTAGATTTGCTTAAATTGAGTGAATATGTACTAAAGCCCCAGGGCAAGCATTCAGCACTGACTAACTTAAGAGGTCAGATTAAGACCAGCTCTGAAGAGGCTGAGTTCAGGCAAGCCTGTTCGGATGAAGACAACGTAAGTCTTCGGAAGGGGCCAAGCATTTCGCTAATGTATGCGAAAAAAAGTAGAATTTTGAGGAATCTTTTGGTCGAACACAATTATGCACATGCATACAAGTGAATATGCGTTTAGATAGACACTTGATTTAACCTAACCGTATCCTTTAATACTCCATCAAAAGTCATCGGTTTCGGGTATATAGGCACATTTTGTGATAAACCGGCGCGTTTTCTCGACTCGTTAGTCTGACTATAGTCGTAACGATGATAGTCTGCACTGATAGTGTCTGTCGCACGATGGAAAGATGGTTATCACTTCTTTACCGGAATCCAAGAAGATTGCCTCGAGGACAGCGTCATCAAGAATGTTCCTGTGAAGCCAAGAAGCAACATATTGTAAAGGGAAATCTGCCGTGATCTTCTGGTGCGATCGGCCGTGAAATTTTGTATCATACATTTTCGCTAAAAATTGAGGAGAGCTCAATAAGTTTGGCTGCAACCCAGACTACTTTTCGGATCTGCGTCTTAACAACCGTTGCCAGTTTGACAAAAAGATGAGGCCAGAGAGGCTTAGGCTCAAGTGAACCGGCATAGCGTCCATAACCTTGATTCACATGCGAACAATCAACTTCGCCCATCTGCAAGCGTGTAGGGTAGGCGGAAAGTAGTGTTTCGGTGCGCCTTTTCACAAAGCATGCTTTTTTTATTTGACACTTTCCGTCACATGACAGACAAAAGCTTAGCACTGGTTCATTTGGGTTGCAGTACGATGGGCCATAGACTTCTTCACGTAATCCAACATCATCCATTCCAATCAAGAAATCTCCTTCAAGAAACTTTTCCTACGAAAAGAAAAGCAGTCAAACTAACCATAAATTAGAGCGACAAGGAGACTTGAAATAAAACACAATTCAGGTTGCGACGTGAATGACCATCAAATAATTCGCAAAACCCTATTCAGTCTCCGTAAGAACTGTTGACTGGATCGCTTGAGAGATCTTTTCTGCTCTGCTGGTGAGGTCATTTTTACTCATTCTCTCAACATTCGGGACGTCTCTAAGAGAGATTAAGCGGGTTTCTGTAAGCCTTTTCACCAACAAATTAAAAAAGTTCAATATACTTTGTTGCCTTGCAAGATGTTTGGTGGATACCTTGACGTTAGCAATACCAATTGCTCATTGCATAAAAACTTAAAAGCCCTAGGTGGCATAAAAGGATTTGGGGACTGTTGGCGATATTTTCTTCCTCCCATAGTGTCATTGAGGTTCACTTAGCCATGTCTTCCAAGAGGTT